AGCAGCTACAACTGAAATAAACACAAAAGATAAAATAAAAAAACAATTGGCAAACACTGAAAAAATACTTTTTAAAATTATTTTTTATTTATTATTTTTAGTGTATTTTTAGAATTTTGCACCAGTTGAAGATCTGAACAAAAGTTACTTTTTGTCTCGATTTCTTCACGTTTGTCTTTTTTGTTAAGGCCAAGTGTGTGTGGAAACACCCTCCAGGTGACGAGATTTACAGGAAGGGGAACATCTCTGTCTTTGAGGTGGATGGAAAGAAGAATAAGGTGAGAGAGTCTCAGTGGGAGGATTTTCCCACCAAATACTGACCTCTAAACTTGCTCTGCCAAATATTCTATCTAAACCTCACAGCAAGTCTGCAGGCAGTGATAATGGCAGTTACATTTCGATTTAATGTACTTGAACTTTAGGCTAAATTTGTTTACAAGATCTTAATATTTCAAATCTAAAGGCCGTTACACACCGAGTGCACTGTGAGGGGGAAACCAACAGAATTTAGAATTCGTAACACACAAAATGTCTAATGAGCGAATCCTGATGATTCAAAGGAAGAAACGGAGATTCTGGGTTCATCCAATGAATCCATCCAAATAATTACCTGCAAAAAAGCGCAGTCGAGGTGAACGGCTGCGATAGATTTTTTTAACACACCAAACATTTGCACATTTACACATCCGGTGTGACAGAAAGGCCTTAACAAGTATTTCCTCCCTGTGGAGGAAGGCAGGCTGTGTGACTGAGGTGTGGAAGACTCTTAATGTATTTATACCTGATGGGTAACGTGAAGTCACGAAAGTCAGTGCAGGATTGTTTGACTGGCTAAAACTTCACACACTTTTGCTGTGCGACTTCTTCACGTTGTGCTTTCTGCAGATTTACTGTCAGAATCTGTGTCTGCTGGCGAAACTCTTCCTGGACCACAAGACTCTGTATTATGATGTGGAACCGTTCCTTTTCTATGTCATGACTGAAGCTGACAACACAGGGTGCCACCTTGTCGGATACTTCTCCAAGGTAACTCCAGAGTATTTTACGTGACTGAACTCTTCTTGAAAATAGGGAGTGTTAACAGAGTTTGCAGAGAATGACTACAACAAATCACAAATGTCTTTACTAAGAAGTGCGAGCTGAATTTAAAACCGTGTTTCTGATGAAGTTTCACACAGGTTGTAATGTCAGCTGCTCTGTGATGTTGGGCCAAAGCAATCAGATCAGAGATAATGCATTTTCATACTGCTGCAGCCTCCATAGTCCTGCTATGAGCTTTGATTCAGCCTGTTACCTTCATGCGTTCATTCTCCTCCCATAGGAGAAAAACTCCTTCCTGAACTACAACGTATCCTGCATCCTCACCATGCCGCAGTACATGAGGCAGGGTTACGGCAAGATGCTCATAGACTTCAGTGAGTACCCACTTAAATGTAAACGAGCTCACACACTGGCCAGAGATTCTGCACAGCGCTACACAGTAACAGCAGGTGTAGGAGCTTCAGGTCGCTCCTAAGTGTAGCCATCCAAAGCACTGCTCTCTCGGTTTGTCCTGCCAGGTTACCTGTTGTCCAAAGTAGAAGAGAAGGTGGGCTCACCTGAGCGGCCCCTGTCGGACCTGGGACTAATCAGCTACCGAAGTTACTGGAAGGAGGTGCTGCTGCGCTACCTGAACAACTTTCAGGGCAAGGAGATTTCCATCAAAGGTCAGAAAGTTCAAGATGCTGGATGGAGAAAGACAAATATCTGACTTCTAGTTGATTCTGTTTGACTATGGCTGCTGGTCAAGAAGCTTATAAAATACAGTGTAAGACACAAGAACAGCTCCTGAGACCGTGTGTGTGTGTGTGTGTGTGTGTGTGTGTGTGTGTGTGTGTGT